TTACTCGCTGGCGAAACTAGTGGGGATACTGAAGTCCCATCAAAGTGTTGTAACTAAGGAAGCGAAAGTGGTCTCTAGTATGGGATCGTTGGCTCTTGTTTCTAAAAGGAAAAAGTACTGTTGAAAAAGAAGAAGAAGAGTCAGACATGTCAGAGTACGAGCTTACAAGTGAGGAATATGCCTTGATGATCACAAATCCAAAGAAATTCGCAAGGAGAAAATTTCCCACCAACAAGAACCGAAACTGACAGGGAAGTTACAGTTCTGAGAAGATGAAGGATGAACCAAAAGTCTCCTCTCAAAAGGATGAGAGAAAAAGGAGAAGAAGCTTGCAAGAGACTCCGGATACAACTGCAACTATTGTCACGGCAAAAACCATTTTGCCAAAGATTGCATGTTGAGAAAGATGGCTGAGATGAGAAGGGTGAGGATGACGAAGCGTATTATATGCGAAAATTATAAGAAGTCAAAAAGAAAAAGGTGTCCAACAGCTCAATAAATGCCTTAAATCGTACATGAGAATGCTGAGGAAGATGAGTTCGGTGGCGTAGAAGTATGGTCAACCGACTCTGAAGACGAAGACGTTAGAAGACCCGCTCATGGAAAGGCGTATGTGGCAAAGAATGAAGGTTCGGGTGGAAAATGTTTTTATTGTCCTATTGGTCCATCAACCGAGAGTGTAGATTCGGAGCTGAACATGACTGAAAATAAGTGTTTTGCGGCCAAGCCAGTGAGTGAGAAGATCAACGACTACGATCGATTGATCAAAAAGGTACATTCTATTCTTGAGTCTCTTAAAATTTCAAAAACGGATTATCAAGAAGAACTAAATGATTAAACTCTAAATTCTCTAACCTAAGTAGTAGCCTCATGCAAACCCGCTTAGCAAATTCTAACCTAACTGACCAACTCGGTAGGGTGTCTTCAAAAAGTGAGGAGAGGAGAATCTGGATTGAGCTGAAGGAAGCATAGTTAGTTAGGGCTAGGGATGAAAGTATTTATTTTCAAAGAGACAATTTAAAGTTATTAAAACAAAGAAATGTTTTTTGTTTGATTGCTAAGCGTCTTTATACTAATATTGCTCAATTACATTTAAATTGTGAAATTGGTAAGAAAATTCATAAGATGATTTTTCCCTTTCTTGAATTTAAAGAAGATGAAGTTCTAGCAGAATGTGAATCAGAAGTGTCCTCTGAAGAAACGTCAATGTCGTATAGGCTAGGTTTGGATAAGATAGAAACTTTCATCGATTCTAAGGAACATAAAAGTATGTTAAAAGATATCTTAGATGAAAATGTTAGGCTAAAGATTAAAACTGAAACTATACAAACATTCGACTTGTTAAATGCTAAAATTTTTAAGGATACTAAAATAAACGTAGATAATTCGTCCGAATTTGATGCGGAAAGCGAGATGAGTGAAATCTCAGTGAAGATGAGGTTGATTGTTCTATGTTTATGAAAAATGAAACCGAGAATGAAAAACCTCTAACATCAGAAAATTCGGTTGAGTTTGCTCGTCTATCAAAGACTAAAACCAAACTCAAGGAAAAAGCCTTGGTCTATCAAAAGGTCCAGACCATGCCAAATCAGGTTTATGCTACGACTGGAGTCACTCAAAGCAGGCGGAAGAATTAAGAACAATAGTTGATGAAGATAACGTTGTAGGTTGCGAAGATTATTTCTGCTCTGCTCCTATTGATAACGCAGATGAAACTGTGGGACTATTTGAGAAAACCACATGGAGAGTCAAGGGTAGATACATACCAAACCCCTCAACAAACCCTCCATTTTTCAATATTCCAAGCACAAGTGGAACCAAAGATGTTCCTAAAGAACTGATGGTTGAACCTGATGTTCCTATCAAGATGGAAGAACCGAAAGTTCTGCTCAAGAGAGAGGAAGCACCGAAAGTTCAAACTAAGTCACCTGCAACCCACCAAAAAGAGAAACCAAAGGCAAGCTTCAATGTTCACAAAGCTCAGAAGGAGCTAGCTGAACAGAAACGCCTGAGAAATCAAAGATACGCCACGAATCTGAATGAACGTAAAAGGCATTGGAATTCTCAAAATCCCAACTATGAGATTCCCAGGAAAGAATCCATGGACAAGGGAAAGGAAAAGATGAAGGAAAACTTTAGTCCAAATTCCTATCATTCCAAATCCCAGAACCAAAAGTCTAGTCTCAGTCCTGAACCCACTTTCGGTCCTCGACCCACTTTCGGTCCTCGACCCAGATTCGGTCCTAAAATCAGATTCGATTCCAATCCTAGTTATGGATCCTCCAAGTCCCAAGATAAAACAAATTCTTTAAAGAACATCAATCGAAAAGGAAAGCTGGTATCAGATTCTGAGGAGGAAAATAAGAAATCCTCTACTAAACCTAGGAATCAAACGAAAAACACTAAACCATCAAAAGCAACACCAAATCATACACTACAATTTAAAGAAGATAAATCGAAAATCAAGGTGTATACCATTAAAAGAAAAGATCAAACAACTCTAATTAAACGAACTTATTTGGTTGATGCTTCTATTGTAATTCCTTTCTCTGTGAAAAACTCACCAGGACCCAAGAAACTTTGGGTTTCTAAATCTGCTTGAATTTGCAGGTAATCGGTGACGAGCAGTTTGACGAAGAATGGTATATAGACAGTGGCTGCTCGCGTCACATGACAGGAAGGAAGGAGGAACTAAGGGAGTTTCGGTCCCTGAAAGATGGTGGGTCTGTGAAGTTTGGAAACAAATCCGTTGGAACAATCAAAGGATACGGCATGATAACTAATGGAGATTTCTCAATCAGAAAGGTGGCTTATGTAGAGGGATTGCAGCACAATCTCATCAGTGTATCGCAATTAGTTGTGGGCATAGGTTTGAAGGTATCATTCGATGATGAGGGGTCTGAGATAATCGACAAACAATCTAAGAAGGTTCCACTGAAATCTGCGCGGAAGGGTGAGATGTACCCTTTGAATATTAATCCAATATGAGGGACACCAGCTATTTTTCTTCTGTCAAAGGCAAACACTGATGAAAGCTGGTTATGGCATCGATGTCTATCACACCTAAATTTCAAAGATATCAACAAATTGGTGGTTGGGGATCATGTTCGAGGCCTTCCTCTTCTCAAGTTCGAAAAGGAACAATTATGTGCAGCATGTGAGATGGGTAAGCAAAGCCGAAAAAGCCACCCAACACGCATCAATACTAAGATATTGGAAGCACATGAAGTGTTACACATTGATTTGTGCGGACCTTCTGCTATAGAGAGTATCGGTGGAAGTAAGTACATTCTTGTTATTGTAGATGACTTTTCCCGCTTCACTTGGGTTTTCTTTCTTAAACAGAAATCAGATGCAACTCCCAAGCTGAAGGTGTTCATCAAGCAAGTGGAAGTGCAATTAAGGAAGATAGTCAGAAACATTAGAAGTGACAATGGACTAGAATTCAAGAACAAGGACTTTGAAGACTTTTTGGCTGATAAGGGGTAAACTCACAATTTTCGGCCCCCGATACACCACAGCAGAATGGGATTGTTGAAAGACGAAACCGTTCTCTATGTGAAGCAGCCAGAACCATGCTCAGTTACGCTTCTTTACCTTTATACTTCTGGGCTGATGTCATCGCTGCTGCTTGTTATACTCAAAATCGGTCATGGTTCTCCATAACTCCTTATGAGATCTTAAATAATAGGAAACCGAACGTCAAATTTTTCCATATTTTCGGTTCACGATGCTTTATTTTTAACTCTAAAGAGAACCGAAATAAGTTTGATGTTAAAGATGATGAAGGCATATTTATGGGTTACTCTCTGTCATAAAAAAGCATATAGGGTGTTGAATAAGAGTTCCCGAAAAATTGAAGAAACTTATTATGTCACTTTTGATGAAAATTATATGAAGAAGGTTCAAAGGACTGACAATGCTTCAGGAGACATATTTCCAGAATCTGGACAGGTCTCGGTTCCAATATCCAACCAGTTTGAGGAATACATTCGGCTGTTCGATGAACCAGAAAAAACAATTCATTCGGAGGAAACAGCAGCAGACAACAAAGTAGATAATCTCAAGAAGGTCATAGACGAAGCCACTAAAGAGATGGAAAGCAAACCACCAAGTCCTAAGTCATCCAAAGGCTCTCCAAGTAAAGCTTCAACGTTCCAGGGGGAGAGCTCAACCACTCCAAAGACAACTGAAGTTTCTGTTGAGGGGGAGAATCCAAGTTCATCCCCAACATTTAAAAGTACAGATGATAAAGATACAACTGATCCAAAAATCACAAGTGAAAATCCAATCGAGGGGGAGACACCCACTTCAACAAGCAATACAAACTCTGATGCTGACAGAGACTTCACTTCGCCAGTCGAGGGGGAGTACGAAAAAGTAAGTGATAGTTCTACTGACGAAGGTGAAGGTGATCCGTCAGATGTCGAAATAGAAGTAGAAGCTGAATTGAATCCACAATATGATCCAAGCTATCCTCCATTAGTAAAATGGACAAAGGACCATCCCAAAGAGCAAATTATTGGTGAAACTTCCGAAAGTGTTCTTACTCGGTCTCAACTGAAGGCGAAACAAACTGCATTATTCTCTAAAATGGAATTTTGTATGTTTAATTCGTTTATCTCCAAGATAGAGCCAAAAACTGTAAATGCTGCACTTGATCATTCTGATTGGGTTCAAGCAATGCAGGATGAGCTCAATGAGTTCGAACGCAACAGAGTTTGGAGGTTGATTCCCAACCGAAAGATGCCTCTGTTGTCGCCTGAAATGGGTGTTTAGAAATAAGCTGGACAAGGAGGGGAATGTCATTCGTAACAAGGCTCGGTTGGTAGTAAAAGGTTATTGTCAAGAAGAGGGATAGATTATGAAGAAACCTTTGCTCCAGTAGCAAGGTTGGAATCTGTTAGAATCTTTCTTGCATATGCTGCTCACAGAACTTCGAAGTTTTCCAAATGGATGTCAAATGCGCTTTCTTGAATGGAGAATTAGAAGAAACCTGTCTATGTTGAACAACGCGCCTGGTTTTGTGAATGAAAAATACCCTGATCACTGCTATGTGATGGATAAAGCTGTCTATGGGCTAAAACAAGCACCGAGAGCCTGGTATGAAACACTAACTCGCTTCTTTAAAATGTCAAAATTTAAACAAGGTTCGGTTGACCAACCTTCTTTCGTAAGAAGGAAGGCGAACATTTGATGATTGTCCAGATTTATGTTGATGATATCATCTTTGGCTCCACGAATCCTAGCTTAACAGTTGAATTTAGGAAGTTGATGGAGACTAAATTTGAAATGAGCGCAATGGTCCAATTAACTTTTCTTCGGTTTGAATATTAGACAAGGGACCAGAAGGTTTTTATAAACCAGGAGGCATACACCAATAACTTACTAA